TCTGTGCATCGATTCCGAAGGACGCTGCTGCTCACACAAGGTCAGGAGTATGCTGCATCTAACCAACTGAATGCAGTTGTCGACCAATTTCGATCACACTCTCACTCCCTCTACAGGCTCTTGAGAGCTCTGGCTGTCGGCTGCCAATTCGAGGCAAAAGAGTTTTCTTACCTTGCGCACACTCTTAACTACTGTCATTTTTATACCGACTAATTAGGCCTGTTGACCTTACCTCACCCCCTTCCCTCTTATTAATATTTTGTATATTTGAATAAATAGGAAGTAAGTGGATCGAACTTGTTAAGGTACTGAGTAATCTCCTTCCTATAAATCGTTCGACGGTTCGTCACTTCTTCAAGGTACAATTAGAGAGAATGTGACTTTTACGTGCAGCAAGCAAGGGAACTTTGTGGAAGAGGAACAGGATCGGGGTAAGAGAAGTCATGGATTGGCTGTCGCTATAGTAACTAAGGTCAAGAGGCACAAGTTGAAGGAATCATTCTTTTTCCCCAGGTTGGTGGTCTGGGTTGCGTGACCTCACGCATGACTGTCAGATCTTTGGAGTAAATTACCCTTCCAAAGTCATGCTAGTGGGTGAGGCTGGTGTGGATTAGTACGAACAAGTGACTTAGTGATGAGAGTCCCTGGGTGATACCACGCTCCAGTGGACAGGCAAGGCATTGTTAATAATCAGCAACATCTATGCAATATGAGATTGCAAGGTTCGTTACTCGTTACCTATTTTTTTTTCCCAAAAGTTAGGAGCAGTTTCTGAGCCTACTCCAACGATGAATTACTTGGTTTGGAGCTCCGGTTTGTAGCTCCGCTCTGACCTGAGAGTGATTGAAGATAATTGTAGCGATTGGGGAGTAACTACAGGATCCTGTGATAGGTTTGATAATTACGTTTGCTTCATTGTTGAATTCGAATGCGAAATATAAAAACGCGGGGTTCCGGTTGTTATCACCATCAGGAGAGCCTTAGATATCTAAGCGGTGGATCATCACTTGGTCGAACTAAGGGAAGCAAGCATGCAGGTAACACGAGGTGAGCAGAGGATTGCAATTTCATTTTCTCGAATTAATAGCGCTTTAAGGCAGTTTTGAGAAAGGGAAGTTTGGTTTAATTGAAACATTTTTGAGTACAGCGATGTTTAAAACGCACAACTAAAGCGACTTCTGTCGGCGTCACGGCCGTTTACCGGTTCCGGCATCACAACCCAACTGCCGACTCGAGGAGGGCCACATTTATATTTAGTTTACTCCTGCTATTCCGTCCATGCGTTCACGGCGACTCCATCCTTCTCATCCTCAACAACTGAGAAGAAAGCGCTCGCATCTAGGTGCAGGTGCTGCCCTCTTGGATCAGAAGAAAGGGAATTAGGAAAGAGTAATCTTCATGCTTATTAGCAGGTGCTCGTTGCAGGATGTGATGGCTTTTGATGCTACCACCATCACCACCATTATCCGTAACGAAAGACTAAAACTACTACCAGAGATACATTTGTGGCTCCCAGAGGCAGCACCACAGTTACATAAATGACTACAACGAGTACCCCGGCTATTCTCGTGGTTACTTTGTAAGCCATTTGCGGGTTAGGATGAAGACACGGAGTCACACGGATTTTTATTTTGCGATGAATGGAATACGCGGAGAAAATCAAGAAGAGAGTAGTGTTACAGAGATAAGCAGTGTCGTATCAGGTCAAGAGTAACACGGATGGAACAGGAAGGAGGACAAGATCGTGGACGTACCTGGACACTCATTCATCCGATTCACATCTTGCAGCCATTCAATGTGGCAATCACCTTCCTTGAGGCTAAAATTAAATACAGTAGCGAACGATTAGGTTCCAACTATGGGAGGGCAAATTTTGCATCTGCGGTGACAATGTGCGCTTCTGAGAGAAAAAGAAGCAAAACATCAGATGATCTTGAAATATCAAGGAG